AACAAGGAACACAATGCCAGTCACAAACAGCATCTGACATTGGCCGACACCAGAGACCCTCCTAAAAGGCTGCGAGTCCTAGCAGATCTACCTAATATATAGAAACAAACCCAAATAGGCAGCCAAAATGGGGAGACAAAAAAACAAGCCCCAAATGAAAAATAAGAGAAGTCTCCAGAAAAATGTCTAAATGAAATAGAGGTAAACAATCTGTTAGATATACAGTTCAGAATACTGATTGTAAGGATGCTCATCAGCATGAGAAATTATATAGAAACTGTGAAAGATGACAGCAGAAATAAAGAATAAATTAGAAGGAATAAAGAGAAGATTAGAGGAATAAAAAACAGATTGTATCAGCGAATTAGAAAACAGGGTAGAAAAAATTACCCAATCATGATCCAAAAAGAAAAAACAATTAAAAAACAGGAGGGCAGTCTAAGGGAGCTGTGGGAAAACATCAAATTATCAATATCCACATCATAGTAGTGCCAGAAGGAGAAGAGTATAAGCAAGGATTAGAGAATTTTTTTGAAGAAATAATGTCATAAAGCTTCCTGACCTGGTGAAAGAAGTCATACAAGTTCAGAAGGCATAAAGAGCATGAAGCAAAAGAAATCCAAAGAGGCCATGCCCAGACACATCATAATTAAAATGTCAAAAATCAATACAAAGAGAAAATCTTAAAGGCAGGAAGAGAAAAGCAGTCTGTTACCTACAAAGGAGCTACCATAAAGGCTCTCAGCTGACTTCTCATCAGAAACTCTACAGGCCAGAGGGGAATGGCATGAAGTAGTCAAGGTAATGCAAAACAAGGATCTGAAACCGAGACTACTCCATTTAATAAGGCTACCATTCAAAATAGATGGTAAAAAAAAGAGCTTCCCAGAGAAAGAAAGGCTAAAGGAGTTTATCACCACTAAACCAGCACTTCAGAAAATGATAAAGGAACTACTGTAATAAGATGTAAAAATATAGAGATAAACAGAGACATAAAGATGTAAAATGGCAATAAATATCTATCAATAATCACCTTAAATGTAAATAGATTAAATAATCCAATTAAAAGACATAGGGTTGCTGAATGGATAAGAAAGCATGACCCAAATATATGCTGTCTACAAGAGACTGACTTCAGAACAAAGGTTCACACAGGAGGAGAATGAAGGGATGGAAAAACTTTTTCCATGCAAATGGACATGAAAAAAAGCTGGAGGAGCAATACTCATATCTGACAAAATAAACTTCAGAAGGAAGACCACAACTAGAGACAAGAAAGCTCACTACATAATACTAACTGGATCAATCTAACATGGGTTAACACTGATAAGCATGTATGCACCCAATATAGGAGCAGCTACTTTTATTAAAAACTTCTGAAGGACTTTAAGGGAGAGATCAATAACAATACACTCGTACTAAGGAACTTTGAAACCCCACTAACATCACTGGATAGAAGATGACATAAACAAGTGGAAGAATATACCTTATTCATGGATTGGAAGAATTAACATCATTAAAATGTCCATACTGCCCAAAGCAATTTTTAAATTCAGTGCAATACCTATTAAAATACCAACAGGATATTTCACAGATCTGGAAAAACTATTCAAAATTTTATATGGAACCAAAAAAGACCCTGAATAGCCATGGCAATCTTGAGAAAAAAGAACAAAGTTGGAGGGATCACAACACCAGATATCAAGTTATACTACAAAACCTCTGTAATCAAAACAGCCTGGTACTGGCACAAGAACATACATATAGATTAGTGGGACAGAACAGAGAACCTAGAAATTGACCAGAGCCAATTGCTCAATTATTTGACAAAGGAGGCCAGAACATACAATGTAGTAAAGACAGTCTCTTCAATAGATAATATTGGGAAAATTGGACAGGTGCAAACATGCAAAAAAATGAAACTAGACCACCAACTTAAACCATACACAAAAACAAACTCAAAATGGTTAAAAGATTTAAAGGTAAGACATGAAACCATAAAAATCCTTGAAAAAAAAAGCAAAATCTCTGACATGTCTCATAGCAATTTGTTTGCTGACACATCTCCTAGGGCAAGAGAAAAAAAGGAGAAAATGCACAAATTGGATTACATCAAAATAAAAAGCTTCTGGACAGCAAAAGAAACCATCAACAAATGAAAAGGGAGCCCACTGTATGGGAGATTATATTTGCCAGTGACATATCTGATAAAGGGTTAATATCCAAAATGTAAAAGGTACTTATTAACTTAACAAAAGGAAGACAAACAATCCAATTAAAATATTGGCAAAAGACCTAAAGAGACACTTCTCCAAAGAGGACATACAGATGGCCAAGAGAAATATGAGAAAATGCTCTAAGTCACTAACCATCAGAGAGATGCAATTTAATACCACAATGATGTATCACTTCACACCTGTGAGAATGGCTACCAACAACAAATCACCAAATGACAAATGCTGGCAAGGATGTAGAGGATAGGGAACCCTAGGACACTGCTTGTGGAAATGCAGACTGGAGCAGCCACTATGGAAAACAGTGTGGAGGGTTCTCAAAAAAATTAAAAATGGAACAAACATTTGACACAGTTGTGTCCCATCTAGGAATATATCCTAAGAATCCCGAAATACCAATCAGACAGAATATATGCACCCCCTATGCTCATAGCAGTGCAATAGCTAAGATCTGGAAACTGCCATTGTGCCCATCAGTAGATGAATGGATAAAAAACCTGTGGTACATTTACACCATGGAATATTATGCAGGTGTACAAAAGAAAGATCTCTTATCCTTTGGGACAGCATGTATGGAACTGGGGAGTATTATGCTAAGAGAAATAAGCCAGTCAGAGAAAGACAAGTACTACATGATCTCGCTCATATGTGGAATATAATGAAGAAAATAAACTGATGAACAAAATAGATCGAGACATAAAATCATGAAACAGACTGAGGGACCTCAGAGGGAATGAGAGGGGTTGGGGAGTGGGCGGGGAGAGATTCATCAAAGTACTTTATGCTTATATGCATAACCTATGGACACAAACATTGGTATGGGGAAGACCTGGGGGTGGGGTGGATGTTGGGAGGAAGGGATCAATGGGGTGAAAGAAGGGACATCTGTAATACTTTCAACAATAAAGACAAATTTAAAATAAAAATTTTTTAAAAGATTCTCTTTGTCTTTAATGTTTGCTCTTTAATTATAATGTGTCTGGGCATCAGCATCTTTGGTTTCTTCTTGCTTGGGATTCTTTGTGCCTCTTGAAGTGTGACATTTTCCTTCACCTAGTTAGGAAAGATTTCTGCCATTATTTCTTCAAAAAGTTTTTTTAAACTTTGCTCACTTTCTTCTCCTTCTGGGTTTCATATGATGTGGATATGGTTTCATTTTATGTTGTATCACAGCTCCTTTAAACTGTGCTCAAGTTTTTAAATTATTTCTTCTTTTTGGTTCTCTGATTGAGTTATATTTTCTACCTTGTTTTCTAATTCGCTGATCCAGTCTTCGGCTTCCTCTAATTCGCTCTTAATTCCTTCCAGTGTATTCTTTATTTCTGCTATGTCATTCTTCCTTTCTAATTGATTGTTTTTCATCATTTCTACATATTTTTTTCATGCTGTTGAGCATCCTTATAATTATTATTTTAAACTCTCTGATAAATTTCTTATCTCCATTTTATTTAGCTCTTCTTCTGGAGAATTCTCTTGTTCTTTTATTTTGGTTTTGTTTCTTTGTCTCCCCATTTTGCCATTTGTGGTTTATTTCTATGTATTAGGTAGATCTTCTTTGAGTCCAAGTCTTTTTGGGGGGACTCTGGTGTAGGCCAATGTCAGACTCTGTTTGTGACTGGGCCTGAGTACCCTATTTGGAGCTATCAGCCATCCGGAGCTTGTGGCTTTCTATACTGGGGATGGGTGCATTTGGAAAGGAGCAAGATGTGCACCAAAGTGTGCTTTTTTTAACCCAGGGTCCAGAAGCAGATCAGGCCAAAACTCAAAGCACCCAGAGGTCCACCTCTGACAGAAGGCTGATTGTTATTTTCAGTTTCTTAATGAGCTTCAATCTGTAGATGACAGCAGTGTGTAAACTCCTCACTGCAGGGAAGAGGTTTCCAATGGGTGGGGCAATTGCTTTCCATCCAGGCTTAGCTACCTGCATGGTAAATATCTGTCTGAGAATGATGTCTTCTGCAGTATGGAAGAATGACTCAGCACAAGGATTCAGGTGGCTGTCCTCTGTGCTCTATCTCCAGGGACACCAACCCTGTCTTCTTTTGACACAGCTCTATTCCACACTGCCCTCCCTCTGCTGGAGCCCGATGAAAGTGGCTGTATGAGGGCACCTACATTTCCAGCTGTCTCTCCCTGGAAGACAGATACCCTGCTGCTTTTCACAGTCAGATGCTATATGGGCACCTTTCCTTGTTCTGGGGCTCTAGGCTGGGGAACCTTGCTTGGAGTGTAGAACCAAGACTTCTCAGTGGGAACCCCCTGCAGTTGAGATGTCCCTCCCCAAATTTGGCTGTTGCCTGGCAGACTCGCCAGCCCTCTCACACCTCTGCACTTCCTACTAGCCTTTATATGGCCTCCTCTTCATGTCTTTGGTTATTAAGAGTTCTCTCCAGCTAGTCTTCAGTTGGTTATTCAAGATTGTTTTTCTATATTTAAGTTGTAATTCCAGTTTGGTTCTGGGAGAATGTCAGTGTAGTTTCCACTTAATCCACCTCCATTTTTGAATATTGTATTAGCTGTTTTAGGTAGGCTTCCCCAAACCCTCTATCTCAGGACCAGAGATAAATTTTAGGGGACACAAAGTAAAATAAATTTTAAAAAATAAATAAATAAAAATAAATAAATAAATAAATAAATAAATAAATAAATAAATAAATAATTTTAAGTGGGCACGTGAACCAAGTAATATGGAAGCTACTACTTAGCTTGCATTCTCTTTCCACTAGCTCCCTAGTTTTTTGTATTCTGTACCCACAGCTCTCCCATCATGTATTGCCAAGAAAATGAATACTGGGACCAATGGGGACGGTGTGTCACTTGCCAACTGTGTGGCCCTGGAGAAGAGCTCTCCAAGGTAAGTCCTAGTGGTCAGAATATTTCTTCTTTTCCATCTTAGGAACCATCTGGCAATTAAGAGGGTCCAAGACTGGGGGAACCCCACATGTGTTTAATACAGTTCAATGGCAAATATATGGAATCCAAAGATTATGAAAATAGTAGTCATAACTCCAACAAGAAGTCAGCCTGGCATTGTGAGGGTCAGATGAAGGTTCCATGAGATAATGGGGTATCTCAGATATAGAATGGAGAGGTCTAGAAAGACTGTTTGGCATTGGGAAAATCTGTAAACTAAAGGACAGCCCACCCATTTGGAGTCAGGAGCCAGATATCAGGTCTTGGGAATAAAAAAGGGAGAACTACAAAGGCTGAGGGTGCTGTTCAGTGGATGATTAAGGAATGGTTAGGGAGGGCCTAGAATCTCAATTGGTAGTAAGTATCAGAACAAAACAACTAGCAAAGCAGGCACCTTTTGCTCAGCCCTTGTTTGCAAAATGTCCCCTTATTATTATTATTTTTTGCCTCAGTTTTTCCCTGTTGGT